TCCCCCCGGGTAAGTGTAATACCCGCGTACGGCCCCGCCAAAGTTTTGCTCGGGTGTGTTGATAACTCGGAAGTCTGAGAAGCTAGAGCGCTGAAATCGTGCAGGGATGTTCCCCGTCTAACTGGGTATTGATACACTTCAGACCATCCCCCGGGTAAGCGTGGTACCCGCGTAGGGACTCACCGAAGTTTTTTCCGAGAGTGTTGATAACTCGGAAATCTGAGAAGCTAGAGCGCTGAAATCGTACAGGGATGTTCCCCGTCCAACTGGGTGGTAATGCACTTAAAACTATCCCACGGGTAAGCGTGGTACCCGCGTACAGGCCCGCCAATTTTTTTTTTTTGGGCGAGTTCATAGCTCGCGGATTTGAGAAGCTAGAGCACTGAAATCTTGCGGGTACGTTCCCCGTCCAACTGGGTGTTTGTGCACCCAAAACTATCCCCCGGGTAGATGTGGTACCCGCGTACGGGCCCGCCAAAGTTTTGCTCAGGTGTGTTGATAACTCGGAAGTCTGAGAAGCTAGAGCGCTGAAATCGTGCAGGGATGTTCCGCGTCTAATTGGGTATTAATACACTTTAAACCATCCCCCGGGTAAGCGTGGTACCCGCGTACAGGCCGGCCAAATTTTTTTTTTGGGCGGGTTCATAACTCGCGGATTTGAGAAGCTAGAGCACTGAAATGTTGCGGGTACGTTCCTCGTCCAACTGGGTGTTAGTGCACTCAAAACTATCCCCCGGGTAAGTGTGGTACCCGCGTACGGGCCCGCCGACGTTTTTTTCGGATGAGTTCATAACTCGAAAATCTGAGAAGCTGGAGCATTGAAATCTTACGGGGTGTTCCCCGTCCAACTGGGTATTAATGCACTTAAAACGATCACCCGGGTAATCGCGGACAGCCCGTGCGTTGGCCAATTATTTTCTCTCGCTTTGGTTAGATTTTGCTTCCCTGGTATTAAAATTCGCTTCCTTTGATTCAGTTTCTTATTCTTTCTCGTTCCGGGCGGGCACTTTAGGCATTTTTGTGGGGGCGAAAGGGAGGTACACTGCTGATTCGTTCCAGGTATACTGCTGATTTGTCTGCATATCGGGTTCATTTGCTGGATGAAATGTTTGCCAGTTTTGTTAGTCCCAGTTTAGGGAGGGCTCTGCGTTGTCATCATTATGTTGTACATTATTTTTAGTATCACGTTAGTGCCACTCATGCAGTACAATTCACTTCCCTTCCTTCAGTTCTCGTTATTGTTCGAACTTACTGCAGCGATTTTTCAGTTACATTCATATCATTCCGTAAGTGTGCATTGTCTGTGGTATCGCCTGCATCAGTCACCTTTCGCTCGTTTTTGTTGGTTGTTGAATGTTGCGTTGCAAAATACTGTAATCCTGGTCCATTTCTTAGCCTTATTCTTGTAGCAGCCGCATTCTGAAACTGCTCGCTCCCGAGGCGTCGTCTTGTATATAATTTAACTCTTTTTTGTTGATCTCTAGGAACTATTTGTTCTCTTTTAATAAACGTTCTTCGCTCTTTTGGCAGCCGGTAAAATACCTCATTGCAGTCTATGAGTGGCATTATTCAAGGCAATTTTATGATGCTGAAAATACACCAGTG